CGTCATTGTCTCTGCCCCCATCTCAGGCATCACTGCTTCTCTGGGTAGGGTCCCCCTCTTCGCTCTTCTCCGTTGATGGTCTTAGGGACCTCCGCTCCTAGACTGGAAAGTTAATCACTCCCTTCCTTGCTATAAAACGTCTACTTTTACATTTCCAACCCTCACAATCAGTCCTGATAACTCATGCTATTATATTTTATTTCATTGCAATAATTACAATCCCCTCCTTGCGTCATCAGTTAACAGTATTTTCTTCTATTCCCTCTTTTTTTTTTTTTTTATGTGCACAAAAACACTCAGGCATAGAAGAACATAAGTTTTACACTCAACCTATCAGACTTTTTTTTCATTGCATTAATTACAATCCCCTCCTTGCGTCATCAGTTAACAGTATTTTCTTCTATTCCCTCTTTTTTTTTTTTTTTAATGTGCACAAAAACACTCAGGAATATAAAATCATTTAAACAACCAAAGGACACATTCTGTAAGCTAGCCTCCTGGCCACGAGCACATAGCCTTTCTCTTTCTGTGACTTTAGAATCCTCAGCTGCTCTATCTCTCCATGCCGTCACCTCTGTCTCCATCTCTGGGGTCGGGGCTTGTCTGGTTAGGGTCCCACATTCCACTCATGCTCCTCTCTTGATAGTCTTAGGGTCCTCTGTTCTTGGAGTGTAAGATTAACTACTCCCACCTTTATGTTACAAAACTTCTGCCTTTACAGTTGTGACAATCATAATAAGTCATGACAACCTGTGAGGATTGCTTTCACTAAGTCTGGCATAACATGGGTTAAAAATGTAGCGTTATGGAATGTTCTGTCCTGATAACAGTGTAAGTGAGAAAGAGAGCATGCTGACTGAGAAGACATGGGACAAAGATGTTATCAAGGATGTTTGTGTAACTAGGAAGACCTAGTTATGAGTGTTTGAGGTCAGAACATTCCCAGACATTTCTCTGTGCTCAACCATATCTAAGAATTTATGTTGCTCCTTATGTTTTCCTAAAGCTCAGCAAAATGCTTTTGAACTTTCTGCTTTGATCAAACCTAATAAATATGAGAAGGAACAAGTCAGGAGGAGTTTTTCTAACTCAGAGAGATCCTCTTAACTATGTTTTGAGTAGTATATTCATTCACTTGTTTTTGCAGAACAGTAAATGCAACAATAACCATGACTCACTATTGAATCCAAAGAATTCTATCCCCATTTCCTTTCACCAGACCCATCTAGACAAGATGAAAACTATTCAATGGGGTTCTACCTTCCCCAGCATAGTCTGAAACTCATGTCGCTCTTCAAAATTTGTAAGTCATCCACTTTGTGACTTTTTAGCCCTCTTCCCTCCATTTTAGGTAGTGCAGCCAGACTGCTCCTTGGAGGCCAAGATGGCCAAACTTCATCTCTCATACTTTGGACTCATTGTCAGGAGGAACCAGTCACTGGAGAAGGATATCATGTTTGGTAAGGTGGAGGGTCAGAGAAAAAGAGGAAGACCCGCAGCGAGATGGATTGGTCAAGTGGCAGCATCGATGGACTCAAGTGTGGCAACAGTAGTGAGGTTAGCCTAGGATCGGGCAGTGTTTCGTTCTGTTGTGAATAAGGTCGCTATGAGTCGGTACTGACTCGATGGCACCTAACAACAACAATAATGTCTAAGTTGCCCATCCCTATCAACCTTGTATATCGAGGGTATAGGCTTGATCCTTGATGTTAAGACTCCTCCTTTCTTCTTGGTTGGTATTTTGAGCTACTACATCCATAAGTATAGGTAAAGCTCATCAAATTGTAGCAATTTACATTTGTTTCTTTTTTTCAAATCTTCCTCTAATTGAGCAGAAAGCATTAAGAGAAGATGGAAGGAATACACAGAGTCACTGTACCAAAAGGAAATGGTTAATGTTCAACTGTTTCAAGAGGTAGCATATGATAAAGAGCCAATGATACTTAGGAAGGACGTCCAAGGTGCGTTTGAAGGAATTGGCAAAGAACAAGGCACCAGGAATTGA